AAACAATAAAATATAAAATAGACAACTCATAAAAATCATCTTGTCGATGGAGCCAATTTATGGAGTGTTGGATTATAGCTCAATGTTTCTGACAAAGCAATGGCTTCAACCAAGTGGCCCAGTCACCCCCCAGCTCAGAGTAGTAAGAACAGAGGGCTGGTGGCTTTGGTCTTACACAGGCCTCCCCCCGGCCCTGTCCTCAAATTTGTCACTTAGGTTTCTCTAATTCTCAGTGTCCTCCTTTGCAAAGTGAGGCTATAAGAGTGGATTTTTAAAACAAAATTTTAAAGATTGTGGTAAAATACACACAACATAAAATTTACTGTCTTAACCATTTTTAAGTGTACAGTTGAGTGGCATTAAGTCCATTCACATTGTTGCACTACCGTCACCACTGTCCATCCATAGAACTCTGTTCATCTTGTAAAACTGAAACTCTGCACAAGATTAAACCAGGAATGGGGAATGTCTGGCTTGTAAAATCATTTAGTCGAGCCCTGCCAAGTTATTAGGGGTGAGTTAATTAAATGTTTGACCAAATATAGCAGGCTAATGTTTACGTTTATAATTTTGTATGGCCCACTAATCTATATGTATAAAAAGCCAGTGACCAGAATGCCAGAATGACTGAAACAACTGGTCGTTGTGATGCTCACTGCAGCTGGCCAACGGGCCCAATCAGGGGCGGGGCCGGCCAGCTAACCCCCTTCGGCCCCTCCCCCTGGCTGGCCCTACCCCTAATTGTCCCTCCCATGATCGGGGGCAGGGCCGGCCGGCCAACCTCTCGCACCCCTTCTGCCCTCCTCCCCCCCCACTGGCCCGACCCCAATCGGTCCCCATCAGGGTGGGCCAGCCAGACCCCACCTGTGCACGAATTTGTGCACCAGGCCTCTTGTGATGTTATAAATATCCAAATGGCCCTTGGCAGAAAAAAGGTTCCCCACCCCTGCATTAAACAAACACTTCCCATTCCCTCTTCTTACAGTCCCTGGGAACCATCATGCTGTTTTCTGTCACTATTAATCTGACTACTCTATGTTCCTCATACAGGTAAAATCATAAAGTGTTTGTCCTTTTCTGACTAACTTATTTCACTTATCATAAGGTTCATTCATGTTGTAGAATGTGCCAGAATTTCCTTCCGAAGTCCATTGTGTGCATATATCACATTTTGTTTATCCATTCATTCACCTTTGAGCAGTTGCATTGCTTCTACATTTTGGCTACTGTCAATAATGCTGCTATGAACACGGATATACAAATACTTGAATCCCTGTTTTCAATTTTTTGGGGGTGTAAACCCAGAAGTGGAATAGCTAGATCATATAGTAATTCTATTTTTAAGTTTGTGAGGAACCATCATTCCATTTTACATTTCTAGGACTGGATATTTTTAACTGTCCCTTCCACATCTAAAATTTTAGGAACCAATACTTGTTTTAAAAAAAATTCTCTTGAAGCAATTTCCTCTTTACCTGGAAATCTGCATCCATTAAACAAACAGCGAGGGAAATGCTCAAATGTCTTTCACCCCAGAAGGCCTTTCCTGACCTCTCTTTATCTTTGTAACACTTGGGTTATGTCCACGTACAGCACCCTTATTTACTAGGGTCAAACCTTAATCACTTTTTAAATTAAGTTGTTGTTTTTTCAAGAACATGAGCTTTGGGAAGGCAGAGATCATGTCTAATTCTTTATCTCCTCAATGCCTGATACAGAATAATTAAGCAGCAACGGCCTATTGAGTGAATGTGTGGATAGACTGAAATAAAATAGGGCCAAATAATTCCACACGACAAATTGAGGAAGTGATAAAAGTGGTAAAATCGGAGAATGATTTTTCTCTGGATGCAAAATATTTCCCAGGAGAGGCTGGGACCCAAATAATAGTAATGGTCAGCATGATAATTAAAATACCTAATACAGTGCTGCCCCAACCATCAGCTAGGGAGCATCTTCCTCACGTGGGCTCTGGAATACCTGCTTTAACATTCCTGCTCCTGCACGCTGGCATGCAGGAGGGTGCACTGGTTGCTTTCTTACCCATCAGCACAGCAGTGCAGAGGGGCATTCAATGCCCATCTGTGGCAGAGCCTGGAAGGGGCTTTCTCCATGTGTCCACATTAGGCAATACAGAAAACTCATGTTTGATGCTGGGAGGACCTTAGCGTCCAGTTCTCTTGGATGATGTAGCTGAGTTTCAGAGAAGGGAAGAGGCTGTTCCCCAGCCATGTGGCAAGAGGGCTGCATCTTAGATTTGGAGGTGCAGACACATGCTCTCCCCACACAGTTACGACCTATGTTTAAACCACCTTGCTGAGTGATGGAGGGCAGACGCTTAAGTGGACACAATGAAAAGACACATCTCTAATTGAATGGGCCAAAATTGAATCCGCGTCCATCCGACGCTAAATAAAAGGCCCTGGACGGTGGGCAAGCAGGTGATATTTCTGGATTGCAACCCTCCTGGGCAAGAAGCCCTCTTGCCAGTCTGTGTTTGCACCTCTGCAAATACTCCCTTTGGAGTATTTTGCACCAAACCGGTATGAAGAATGTCCAGAGATCGCGGGGCGTAGAAACGATTGTCCCTGTGTCGGCCTGGAAAGCAGCAAGAGGAGGTTAGGATGCTGTTTGCTGTCTGCTGGGGCGGACCAGAACTCGCACCTGCTCCCTGGGCTTGGTGGGGTG